GTAAGATTCACCATACAGTGAGGATCTGGTTGTGGACAGAGCTAACTGCTAAATTTTATTCATCCCTAAATGGTACTGGCAACAAATCAGCTCACAGCTTAATACTACTGGCAGCTCTAAATGGGACAGAAACAATGTGACTTTGATCCAGCTATTTTTATATGTGTTATGATTCACTTCCAGTAGATATGATATTGATGCTCAAATACTGGATATTGGATTCTCTTGACAAACAACAAAAAAAGTGAGAAACAAAGCTGAAGGTATTTTTAAATGTCATGGTAACAAGTCACAGTCAAATCTAGTTTCAGTGAACATTTCTAATTCTCATACAAAAGATATAATAAATTCCTATCAGAAAGATTTTCTTCTGGCAAATTTAGAATTCTGAAAATAGTCTTCTAATGGCAGAGACCATACCCTCCTAGCACCAAAATAATAGCACTATGATGTATTATTCCCTTATGGTAACAGACACCATTGAAGCTGAAGTGTAATTTAGCACACAATTCTGCACTAATGTAATGTGACAATGTTATTATGTTCACTATTTTCCATGTGATCATAGCCATATTCATCTTCCCCAGTCTGACATTAAATTAGCTAATAAAGTTATATTCTATTCTGCACCACAGGGTGAAAGCAGTGAAAGGATTACTGTATAGCATAAGGGTTTGATGGTGGTATGTATGTGTGTGTGTGTGTGTGTGTGTGTGTGTGTGTGTTTGTGCACAAGCATGAATAGGTGATATGTTGGTTCTATATAGTGACTGTAATGTAAACTCCTGGCAGAGACCTGGCACATAGCAGGCACTCAGTAAGTGGTTACATGGAAGAAAAAGTTGACAAAAAGCTACAATATATGGTACATTAGAAAAATGGTTACTCTAAGATTTCAGAATAGGGGAAAGCTAAGGCTCAGATAGGAGGACTATCAAAGTTTCCATGGGATGAAACAGTTAAGTAGAGATTGAAAATGAAATTATATTTCTTCGAGCAGATATATAGTAAAAGGAATTCATTCCAGGTGGAATGAGAGCATTCCCCAGGAGGATAAATTAGCATAAGCAATGGTGAGGAAATTGGGAAAGTGTAATGTTGTTCAGAAAGCCATAAGTAAGTTAATTGGCAGTAACATGCCATATGGACAAGGTTCTGCAATAGATAAGGATGAAAATGAAAGCTAGGGTCAGACCACAGAGGTTCATGAACTCCAACTCCAAACTGATGAATTTGGAGAGTATTGTTAACTACTGAGTATATGTTGGAAATCTTCATGCAAGATTCATGCATCTAGTCAACACAGATTTAGTAAGTTGCCATTGTTACCAATTATATGCATTATGATGTATAAAACACTGGGCTTATGAGTGGAAAAAAAAAAGAATATTGCCTGGGAAAAGCACGTGGTCTTACAATATAGTCTTACAGGGAGATAAGACCAAACCTAAATAATATAAGGCCAGAAAGTGATGGCTGATAAAATACCATCAACAAAGCACTACAGCAGTCAGAGGAGGAAAAATATTGCCTCTGATTAGGAAAATCAGGAAGAGCTGGTGATATTAAACTAGGGAGAATAGGAATAAAGAACAAAATTAATAAGGAAGCATAGGATGGATTGGAAGAGAAAGGGATAAGAAATGGGAAACTTAACCAGAAAATTACTACAAAAAGCCAAAAAATATAGTATTGATATGGAAGAATCAGGTTGAGCCCACTACACTACACTACCCTACACATGTACACATAGCAATTACTTTTCTCAATGAGTAGGTCATTTGTGTGGCAATCTTCCAGGGGAAAAAAAGGGTTTCACAAACATATATTTCTTTCAAAGTAGCCTTTGGCATCACTTTGCATAAGTGCCTCTTTTTTGAAAGATTCCTTTAAGTTCATTAATTAGTACGATTTACCCAAGATTATACTTACAAGCTAAAAAGTATTCCCATCTTTCCATTGTTAATTATATCTCCAGGCTAACATAAATAAAATTTTCTAATTACTTTAACCCATTCTATGAAATTTATCAGAGAGATGATAGTCAGAAGGTCTATTTTGGACACAGTGTGTCTTATTTGTGTTCTTTCCCCCTTTTAAAAGCTTTATTTCTATTTTCCTTTTTTTGTTGTTTTTGTTTGGTTGGTTTTCTGTGGAGTTGAAGGCTGCTGTCACAGAATTTATGGATAAATACATAAACTACAGATGGAAATTTCTTTAAGAAATGAAATGTCCTAAATAGCTTTATTTAAAAAAAAAAATCAAACTATACAGGAAAGGAGTTTGTTAAAATCCCGGGAATTACATTAATTCTGTTTGTGTAACTCACAGAAAAACAGGGAGATGCAGAAATAATGTTCATTTTGATGAACATAATCATTGAAGAAAATATGGCATGCTACTCTTATTGCCCTATCAATTGCATGTCTTCAAAGTACTTAAAAAAAAAAGACAAGAGGCCCCAAATGGAGTCGTTTATGCTAAACCCCACATTCCCAAACCAAGATTTAATTTAATTACAGTTTCAGCCATCCCAGAAACCGAATCTTAATTCAGTCAATCAGGACTATCCTGATCATTAATATTTAGGTAATCTGCTTCATAGATCCCTGTCATTCCCTAAAGAAAGGTAACTTTTCAATAACCAACATGCTTTTTTTTTTCTTTTTTGCCAGTATTACTTCCTTGTCCCTGCTCTCTTCTGCCCACAATTCTTTCATTTTATACAGATCCTTGGAGCTCCTTTCTATCTTCTAGATTGGATGCTGCCCAATTTGAATCTATTTTTCCTTAAATAAACTCTTAAATTTTTTAGGATGCTTCAGTTTACCTTTTAATAAAGGTAATGGTGACTGATGTTCCCTCTACAAATTAAAGTTGATATGCAAATAAGATTTTCTTTTAAATGTTGATTTATACGTACATATCCTCACCACCAAAACTCCATGCACAAACCAGGAAAGCATTTCACATTTCCAAAAATCCCATTAAGAGGTAATGATTTAATCAAAATGTATGTATTCTGAGAGCCCTCCAAAGTCATTTTAATGCTGATCTGTGCAAGAGGCATATCAGGAGACACATTTATTGAATGACATTTACCTTATTTACAAGAAAATAACAAATAGCCTTATCATTATCATCACCACTACTATCACTCAAGAGCAGCATTCAAATAATTTTCTGTAAAATGATGTGAAGACAGCATGATACTTAGGGTAGGATCTTCATGTTCTGTTAGGAAATGTCTAGCAAATACATAGAGAAAATTATATTCTTCAAATTTAACTGGTATATGAGAATACACAATCTGACACAACCAAATGGCAACTATTTTGTAAAACATGGAAACTAGATTAAGTTTGGCAGAGAAAGTTCTTTAGCAAAATGAAAAACATTTTTATGCAATAAAAGCTATCTCAGCTACCACATGTAGTCATACATCTGTCAGGATCATATTCAGGATTAAAGATTTACCATAATAAAATCATAACAAATTATCAGTCTTCGGGTTGTCCTTGAAAATAAGTTTACGTTATCTTCTATGGGGCAGGAGCAAATGCAGGAAGCTATAATTCTGCACACATATGTACATATATTTATCAAAAGTATATAAAAGTTTTATATTTGCTTTGCTTTAGGTACATATAAGTACATAAATTATTCATTGAGTCTTCATTTAAGGTCGTTTATAGGACTCCAAATATGGTTATTTTGTGTGTGTGTGTATGTGTGTGTGTGTGTGTGTGTGTGTGTGTGTGTGTGTGCAAATGTATGATGGATACATGTTCATTGCTTCAAGTCTGGTGTAATTTATGGAAGATGTCACTGGTAGGATGGAGACAAAATACTTCCCTATCTATGCTGGTGTGATATTTACACTTCTCTTCCAAGTACTATTTTGCTTTGTAATAATTGTTTATTATTCCTATACTTAACTTCTGAATAGAAAATCTGAAAATAGCTGCTGAGTTGTACCATATCACTAAACTCAGTTTCAGGGAATATTTTAGTTTGACCTCATCTTCAATATTGCAATACATATGTGTACTGACATAAACAGAGTTTCAAATAGAGAAAGATCAAAGGCAAAAACTCCAGTCTTTAAATCCATACCCAAGCCCAGCCTTTGCCTACAAGCCCAAATCTTCAATCATTGCATCCCCCATCCCATCATCCTAGAGCTTTTTCTTAACTGTCGCTTTTATGATATAAATCATTCATTCTATTTTGCAAGCAGGAGGCTTTGTCAGAAAAGTTTTCTCAGTATAGTGAAATTTATTGTTTTGTAGAAAATGCTTTTTATCATTTTGATGAAGTGCTGTAAGGCACAATCTAATTGAGAATTAAGAAACAGGACTTCATCCTATATACCAGTTAATTCAGTCTTAAAATTCTCACTGAAGTCAAACCATTAGATATTCCATGATATCATGTGAATGCTGTGTTTCTTAGTCATGCTATAAACAATATAATTGTGAGACTAAAGGAAAAAAAATCCACAGGTGCTTAAAGTATAAGAGAGACGACCTGAAGGACAATGTTTAAACATACTGTTTTTAAAATAAAAGGCAGATATTACTTTAAGAAAGATATAGAAAGAGAAACATAATGAGATGTGTCACCTTTCATGAAAATTACAGCCCTCAACATATAATCTTCTGGAATTAAAGATTATTTAATATAAAGCAGTAAGGAGTCTCTTTCAAAAACTAGAGGAGGATTGTCATATGTAGGAAATGAAAAAAAAAAGATTTTTGACAAGGTGACCATTGGCAATTAAAAAACATTACAGTAAACGCTTACAAACTAAAGGCTCACCAGCATCACAGCATTTAGCTAAAGGCATCCTTGATTAATACTTTATTTTTTTCAAAAATGCCCTTTCTGTAAAACCAACTGCTTCTCATTATGACAGTTTGACTTACACATAATATAAAGACTCGCAGTAACTGGAAGCAATGATGACTATCTGAGTCCGTACTCAGAGGGGTACTTACGGTCATTGCAGAGTGGACCACTGAAGGAAGTCATACTACAGTCACAGCTGAAGCCATCCCATTGCTGCAAGCACACACCTTGATTGGAACAGGAGTCCTCTTGGCAGGTTGTGCTGGGTCCTGCAAAAATAATCCAAAAGAAACTTGGGTTCTTTAAAAAAATCCACAAATGTTTTATACATGAGCTAGGTCACATATAGTAGTTGCCAACACCTCAAATTACATGACCAAACCAGTTTTGAAAGTTCTAGTTCACACACCTGAATTAGGAACAGAGAAGCTGTAATATGAAGGTTTTCTGAAGTTTCAAATATAGAACAAAATACATTATAATAGTAACCTAAACCAACAAATAGTAAAAGCAAGCACATAGCTTCTAGTATGATCATGGTCGCAAGTAATCTCATTCCATCATCAGTAATTCTCTATCACCATTTGTATTTTAGAAAAATGCATGGATCTCCTTAACTTCTGACCAATGAATAGAGACACCATGAGAAATGGAGATTAGAGCTTTATGAAATTGAGGTAAAGATTGGCAAAATAACTGAAGAGAGTTATGCAAAAATGCCCTAGAAGCTTCCAGAAGTTTCCCTGCACAAGCTATGGATAAAGTTATGGTTGTTGGGTGTTTTGGACAGGTATGTTGGCAAGTATCAATTCACATGCTTTAACAATTTCATGCAGTTAAACATAAAATGAAAAAAGTCTGTAGAAATGACATGCCCCCATTTAACGTGCAAGTAAAAAGAATTCTAGGCTATTTCTAAAGAATCATAACTAGAACACTGGAAAACAAAGAACTAAAAAAAAGATGATCAAAGCACTAGAGGCAATCACTATACAAACATATTCAAGACTGAAAGCCTTTATGCAGACTATGCTACAAGATGATGCTTCTTGCACAATGTTCAAGAAGGGGAGAAATTAAATCTGAACCCAAACAACAGTCACTGAAAGATGTAAAGAAAATGTCATTTTGGGGTTTCCACCGTGTATTGCGGGGTTTCAGTCTTGTTTTTTACACACAGGGCTATCTACCTTGCAAGTCAGCTTTCATCAATGCAACTTTGTCAGCAAAATAAAAAAAAAAGCAAAATATATTAAATGTTAGTAAGCAATACCAAAATGGGGCAAACACAGAACGTTCAGATTCAAAAAGCATGCTGCTATAAAGGGGGAGAAAAAATGCTATGTAGAGCAAACAAATTAATACTAACAGCCATAAATCTTAAGAGAAGCCAAAAATGAGAAAGCAGTAATTTATTAGAATTTTACTGTATATGTATATATAATGGTTAGTTGAGCTGATGACATGTAATGAAAGAAATTAAAAGAGCTTCTGTATTTTTTTCCTCTCTTGGATAGATATGAATGCATTACCAAAGGAATTGCATTGCTTATTTGGAAAATGTGGCACCATTTGTCATGCGCATATACAGTGTAGACTATGGTCATTAGCAGACCAATGATCCCTTTCCATTTCTTTTTCCCCTCTGCATCTTTTTATCTTGCAATTGCAATTAAGGCTTAAGACTGTAATGCCAGCCATTCATTGCCAACAGCTGGACTTCAGAGTGACACCAAACTATCAAAATGTACTATATATATATTATTTGGGTGGCTGAGAGAACTAAGGGATAGAAAAAGCAAACTGCAGTCTAATTCCTCTTACAAAAAATCCCTTTACAAGATTTCAGTGTTCTTACCAGGCTGGGCATATACTACTTAAGGATCTCAGAGTTATGTCAGTATTTTCTCCATCTTCATAATTCCCTTCAACTCTTCTAAACTGCTCTGGGAATATTTATTACAATAGAACCCCACTAATAGGGACTGTCTTAGTGAATGGTCAAAACAGAATGCAGTCAATCTAAACAGCTTTAGAGTAGAAAACTAAAGATGTTTTCTAGTAAACACTATTTTAGAGGTTTTATGAAAATATGGAAATGATACCAGGCCAATTAACACTGAAAGCCTTTGAGGTAACTGCTTTAGTGAATAAATGAGAATTACCTGTAATTAGCCTTTGTGTAAATTGACATTTTCATAAAATGTCTTTCTAAACATGCTCGTTCCAAAGTACTTCGGTTATAATTTTCTCAGTATTCTTCATAGAAAGTTATTGAATTTAGCTTAACCTATGTGAATGTTCACAAATTAAGAAACCATAACACTGTAAGAACTAATTATATAACAACAACAATAGGTATACTAATAGTAATAAAACTAATAGATTTTATCAATAATAATAATAATATTATTATTATTATTATTATTATTATTATTAATTTCTCAGACCTGGAAGCCCTGAACAGATGTAATAGTTTTTATCACTTAGTTCATCAAAGAACTAAGAACCACTAAATTGCTTAGTTTTTGTTGTTTTTCCAATCTATGAGAGGTAAGTGGTCTAATGATCTTTATCCCATGGAGTTAGAGACTGAAGGTAATTATTGTTTGTTTAAAACAAACAGGGGTTCCTGGGTGGCTCAGTTGGTTGAGTGTCCAACTTCAGCTCAGATAACAATCTCACGGTTCATGAGTTCAAGCTCTGCATCGGGCTCGCTGTTCTCAGCACAGAGTCTGCTTTGGATCCTATGTCCTCCTCACTCTCTGCCCCTACCCCACTTGTGTACACTCTCTCTCTCTTTCAAAAAAATTAACATTAGGAAAAAAACAACAACAACTCTTAAAGCAATACTCCTTCTCACATTCCCTCCTGGGATAAGCCTGGGAGCAGGGAGTGGTGCTGGCCCACTGCGGGTCAGGTGCTGTTTCATTAATTCATAGCAGCTCCCTGACTTGCCCAGCACAAGGTAAGAGCAGCAATAGGAACTGATGATGAGCTAGATTATTGTGTTCACTTTTGCTCTTGTAAAAATCATCAGAAATACAATTGCAAAATAATACCAAATTCTAAAAATGGTAAAACTGCACTCCTAAAAATGAATCTGCCCATATTGTGGAGCTGCAACTCAGCGTACCTGCCAAACTTTATGTGCGCAGAGAGACATGCTTTATTATTCTTATTTTTCATTATCACAACCGTCTTTTTTTTTTTTTTAATGTTCATTTATTTTTGAGAGAGAGACAGAGTATGAGCAGGGGAGGAACAGAGAGAGAGGGAGACACAGAATCCAAAGCAGGCTCCAGGCTCTGAGCTGTCAGCACAGAGCCCCATATGGGGCTGGAACTCATGGACCAGACCACGAGACCATGACCTGAGCCAAAGTCGGACTCAACTGACTGAGCCACCCAGGCACCCCACAACAGTCTTTTTATACTCAGGTCTTATAAAAGAATGCATGCCTCTGTATGACAAGACATATTTTTCAAAATACTCACCTTCTAGAATAATATTTAAATATGGACAGGCATTTACACAAGACAAAGCCCTGAATTTATTTTTTCCTTGAGTTATGTAATGTTCCTTTTATTTTGTCACTGTATAAAATTGGGAACAAACCACAAGGACATGTGTATTAAGTGGTTAAGTAAAAGGATATGTCTGAAAAGGAAGAGAAGTGAAGGTAAAACTAAAATCTCTGGAAACCAAAGAAACAAGAGACGAAAGTGTTTTGATGCCTGGACTTTCAAGTATGGCAAACTTGAGCTCAAAGCTTCCATCAACCATGAACGAGCTGTGTGATCTTAAGGTCACCTTACGTCTGTGAGGCTCAATTTACTCATCTAAAAAACGTCAGTACTACCTAATTTACACAGTTTTAAGGATGCAATGAAATAGCAGATGTAAACTTACTGTCACTAGTGCCAAGTCAATGGTAGCTTTAATAAGTAAGTATTTCTGTAGCTTATAACAGTTCTGGGGCTGAATTTAGATGCTATGCAAAGAGTGTCTGAATTAAAAAAATTTTTTTCACTGACTTTACGTACGAAAGTTATCTTACCTTAGTTTTAGTACTGAGCTTATCTGAGCCTGATTATTGGTGGGTTACCAGTCTCTATTTTCTCTTAGGTAGGTAGGAAAGTGCCACCTAGCAGTAGTTTTTAAAGTTTGGTCCTTGGAACAACAGCATCAGCATCATTTTAGCAACAGGTTAGAAATGTAAATTCTAGGATCCTGATGAATCAGCAATCTTGGGGGTAATGTTCTGGAATTTGTGTTTTAACAATTCTCCAGGTGCTTCTGATACTGGCTAAAGTTTGAGAAACATTCATCTAAAGGGACTTGGAAAAGGCAAGCTTCCTCCCCCAGCCAGTGTGCTATATAAATAAAAGCAGCTATGACCCAATGAAATTAGTTAAAAATGGAAGGCAGCAAGTGGTTATTAGGAAAGACCAATAACTTTTTATATGAAAGGGACTTAGAGATTTGTGGGTCTTGTCAGGTAGGAATGATGGAAAATCTTCAAAGATATTTGGTTATTCACAAATTTATACCACTTCTATTAATATGAAAGTTCAGTGATTCCAGTGTGATTTGGATTTAAAGTTCTATAACACAACTATCTTTACAGAGGTAATTCATCAAGCATCTAGAATTTGATCACTATTTCTAAAAATATATGTATATCATCAATTACACATATGACAGGTTTATCTAAGATTATTCCTAGGAACTTCATAGGATAGAAACAATCATAAATTAAAAGTTCTTAATCTTGGTGTTGGAATGAAAAAAATCAGGGAAGTGTTAAGGTAGAAAGGCAAGGGCATGGTAGCATTCAAAGAATAAAGAAAAAGGGGATAAAAAGAGGGTAAGAATTATTAAAGCTCAGATTATAAGCATCACATATAAGGTAAGTAAGGAACCAATGTCATAATCTACTAAATGATTTCAAATGTTCAAATAGTACTCTGCTTATTAGATTATGTTAAGAAATAAAACCAAGTATCATTTCCACAAATATCTTTTCTCAGTCCACCTTTCCTCTCATTAGTTATCCCTTATACCAACCCACTCATATCATGTATGTGTCAGTGGTAGGGGGGTCATATGTGTGTGTTTGGATTTCTATCTTGTGGGTGTTTAGCTGTGAACGTGTCTGTCTGCTCCCAACATCTCTTTGTAGGTGAGAAGTCACTTGCCAAGCAACTTTGTAAAAAGGCCTATTTTTGGAAAAAAAAATATTTTCAGGAGTTTGTAGTACTTTTTTTTTAATGTATATATTCTCACTGATTAGATCACCTCCAAGAATCAAAGTTATGACCTACATACATGTATCTACCCACTAGAAAGAATTTATTCACTTAACAATCTTGCTTCCTTTGGTAAATGGAGAAAACACAGTTCCCTTTGTTTTACAAGACCGTGTAACACCAAAATTTGAAATAAAAAAAAATAAATATAGCAATAACATTAACGAAAATTTCAGTGAAGTCTTCTATTAAATAACATTATCTTCCAGAAGGATTAAAACACAGTTTGAATTTCACCTGACTTTTCAGGGAAATATATACAGCAGAGAGAAAAAAGTGTATTTAAAAAAAATCTCCATGTACTTAGGTAATTGCTAAATCTAATGGCATTATTTTGGCCGAGAAGAATGATTCATAATCTGGGGGATAGGAATTCACATGTCTTTCTTTGCCTCTTCCATATGAAATTTCCTTATGAATCTAAAATTTTCAAAATAGCCCAAACTGTTTTCAACATTAAAGGAGAACCAGCAATACATTCAGAGCCCCCAAATTCGGGATAATGTGATTAAATTACATTTATGGAGGGAGAATTGGCTCACATAATCTGAGGTGTTGAAGTGAAAATTATCTAAAATGAAAGTAGCGATCTAAAAGTACTCCCACAGATCTTCATCTGATAGAGAGCACAGAAAAACAGAAAGATACTTGAGCACATTTCTCAAGTATGGAATATTAGTCCTGGGTAATAGAAGAAAACAATTTTTGCTAAAACAAACTGATGATATACAGCAGAAACTCTTGCTACCAGGTAGATACAAATCAAATAGTGATTTGACAATGGGTATCTGAACTTTATAGTCTTGTAGCTTGCTGAATGTAGATTTGAAAAAAAAAGGCAGTCTCAAGTTGATTGACACTCGCTGCAGTAAATACATATGTTTTAGTCTAAACAGGGTAACTATTTAATGTCTTTAAAGCAGGCATTGCAAAAATGATTAACCCACCAATTAGGCAAACTATAAAATTCACAGGAGCAGAAAATAACAAGATCCATGCACGGAGCTCCCATCTTACATAAGGCATTAACGTAGGTTTGCAAACAGCCCAGAAAATTTAGGATTTATGGGCTGAAAAGTGAAAAACACAAATAAGGATTTCTAAGCCCTAAGGGGTGGGGGGGAGGGGGTTGAACAGTTGGCAGAAATAAATTTTGCTGCCTAGAGAGAATTGTTCTTATTTACGGTTGGAATTAGAATTACTTAGAATTTCATAACAAAGATCTAGTACCTTCACATCCTCTCTCAATCTGTCCATTGCAGAAAAGAGCATCTGAGATGAGGTCTGGAAGTCGTCCATTTAAATCAACTGAGGCCAGGCAGCCTTGAAAACCCTCCTTGGCATGGACGAGTTTCGGCAAAGATTTGTAGGTTTCTTTAGCCACTCCTCCTATATATAAGTCACCTGTGGGAAAAGCAAAGTTTTGGTCACAAAAGTAACTTGTCATTGTTTTAAACATATAGGAGGATAGGAAAAAAAAATAGCTTGGTTTATTCTTCATTGAATTAATAAAAAAGTCAATTATAATTAGATATTTTCCTAAAAGTATGCAACAATAGAAGCGCTTGAGTAACATACCAGCATTCAAAGATAGTTCTCCACAGAGAATTGAATGAGCTCAATACAGTATGGCCAAGTGGAAGGAATATGGGCCATCGGGTTGCATATTCTTGTACTAAAATCCAAGCCTGGTTATTTACCAAGCCTGGTTATTCTGCAACTTTTAATGTTTGTTTGTTTGTTTGTTTTAGTTTTTGTTTGTAGTTTCTCTGATCATTAGAAACCCCATTTCTAAAATAGAAATGATAAAAATCTGTCCTATAGGTTTTCATGAGAATTAACTGAGATAAAATATAGAAAGTATCCACCAGAGTAAAAATATGAACTAGACACTAAGTCAACCTTCTGCTTAGAGAACTCTGGGTCTTTATGTTAATCAGAAGTTCAACAAATTCTCTTCAGTGTCTACAATTACCTCCTCCACTAGAATTGCCCATTATCGTACTTGCACCTATCACATTCACTAACTGACTCCCATTAAGAGTCTGCTTACATCCTTTTTCAGGTACGTTTTATTTTTTTAACGTTTATTTATTTTGGAGACAGAGAGAGACAGAGCATGAACAGGGGAGGGGCAGAGAGAGAGGGAGACACAGAAGCTGAAACAGGCTCCAGGTTCTGAGCTGTCAGCACAGAGCCCGACATGGGGCTCAAACTCACGGACCGTGAGATCATGACCTGAGCCAAAGTCAAACGCTTAACCGACTGAGCCACCCAGGCGCCCCAGGTATTTCTTATTTAGGTGAAGTTATATCACTTTGAATTCTTTATGATGCTCTGGGAACCACTAACAATTTATCAATTTTTTTAAATTTTATTGAAGTTTCTAATGGAACACTTCGCTCTGCTAGTATCATGTCTCTAGGTTTGATATTTCCCTGTTTTATGGGCAAGAGAGATTACAATCCATGTTTGACTGCTTCATTTCCTATCAAAGATTATCTACCATATCTGTATGGCATTGAGTAGATGTAATTCACTGACTTTAATAAACACTTAGTCAATGTAGAAGACAAGGAGGGTGACCCCAAAATTCCATGAGATATATTCCTGTTTAAAAGTTCTACTAACATACTCTATTGAGCTATTTATTTTTCTGACTTTTCATTATCAGTTGGGTTTTCTCTCTCAGATTAACCAACCTTTCAGGCCACCTGATACCTTTTCCCCAATGTAACACAAAACTCCTATATTCCTAATGTTTATCTGGGTCCCTCTGTGTTGTCTTCATGGGACTTGGAATAAAGGAGAACACGTGGATACTCATGCTGTTTGTTGAGTCATGAGTCCTTGTTCTCTGACCCAAAAGTCTTCTGTCTTCTGCCAGCATCCATGAAACAGTAATAAGTTAACCTATTAGATTGTAAGTAGGCTGAAATCAAACCACAGATATAAGAGTCCTGAATTGTACTGATGAGTGAATTGAGCTTGCTTAAAGTCATTTTGCCATAGAAACTGAGGACTTAGGTCCCTGATCTATTAACTAAAGCTCTAAGTATTATACTGGGATGCCACTGATCCTGCATGAGATGTACTGAAGGTACTGGATGTGTTAACTTCCCCTACATCTTGAACAAAATAAAACATCCATTGACTACTAACTATATTCTTAATATTAAAGGATAGTATGGGTTTCATCTGAGATGGGATGCTATTTTTGAAACGACTTATTTTTTTCTCCATATTTCCTTTTTCTCCAGTCTTTGCTCTCACTTAAATTTAAAGCCATTGTGTTTTAGTTATCTCAGAGAAAGGAAAAGAATCAGAAACCAAAGATATCAAATTATCTTCCTGCATTTCTGCAAATTACCTTTTTGCATAAGTCAAGACTCTTAAAAGAATGAAATAGAATATATAGCCAACTACAAGAGAAGAATAAAGCTTTCCTACCTCTCATGTAAACACACAGGAGAGAAAACTAGAGAAGAAATGTGCACACAGTCAATGAATACCAAAAAGAGGACACAGTGCTCTAATTTGAGGGCTGAGCTCCAGTGGAGGTAAAAACTTCAGGTAAATTTACCGAATTATATTGATTTGTGTGTAGTTCCATAAGAGAACCGAGAAGTAAAAGTGGAATTTTTGGGAAAAACATAACTGCATGGTAGATTTAGACATGCTAAGAACTTAGGCAGCCTCACAGAATTTACCATATTTCAACTGTGGTATGGGAGCGACACAATTCCCAGAGTTTCATAGAAGTAAACAGAAAAAGACTGACATTACTTGGTCATGCACACAAGAATGAAGATGCTGGCAATTCAGTGGACATCCGAGCTATAAGTATACAATACCCAAGACCAGCTCCTGTGTAATCTCTATCTCCCAAAAGATCAACAGTGGAAGTCCCCCACCCAAATAATTTAGAACTAATCTCAGGGAAGTAAGGGGGAAAATTGCCTGAGATTACATTTTCACTAACTCAAAGGATCAGAACTCAAACTGGAAACCAAGGTGAGTTATAGAAAAATAGAGAGTTACTTTTCATACACATCTGAAATTCTGAGGAGAGATTTAAACTGTTACATGTCAAATATCAATGCAAGGACATGCTCCCTATGTTCATTTGTTGAACTAAATTTGTTAGAACATTTCAGCTCTCCTCCAGGCCTATTGAATGCAGTGTTCGAGAACAGAGGGAATAGTTAGATGAAGATTTCTTAGCATTGCTGCAGGCCTTTTGGAAGTAGAATTTACACTGAAAGTTATGTATAAGACACTACATGTTTGCTAACCTACCTTCCTCTTTCTGATGGCACCCTCCTGGAAGGGACAGACTGTGTCTCTATTTGTTTTACATTCTCCCAAAGTGGCCTACAAGCACAGTGGACACTCGACACATATTGTCAGCCATCTGATGGACTGAGGTCATAGTGGAAAAGAATCAAGAAAGAAAGAATGCTAAGGCAACACATGGAGAGAGAGCTAATTCTAAAATGCACTTACTTCCTTTCCCCGCTTCCTGCCACCTTCCTATTTTTTTTTCTGTTGGCAAACATATGTGCCTGAACAACTTTTCAGAGATTACTGCAGAGAAGTAGAAATCTTCCCCTTGTGTTATTAAAGAGCAGAAAGTATCGATTCAAGCAGTGCAGGATATAAGCCTCAAACATATACTAAGGTGGATAAGTAGGGAATACATTCTCATTTTCATTACTGAAGCTGCACTTAGCACCACCACTTCATATTGTCTTTATAACCTCTTCATATAGTAGATAGTGGTCTAACATCCCCTGGTGGGTTGCCCTATGAAGAGAACAAAAGAAACCCTTAAGTGGCCTGAGCCCCATATAGCATTAACACTTCATCAAAGATGCAGCTTTTCCTTTTGATCCTTGAGGTGATGGAAGTTAAAATGACCCATTAGCATTAATGGGATCTTGCAGGCAAATTCCTGTGCACGGGAAGGAGGATATGCTTTTTAATGACCCTGTGTGTGAACAAGAGCCAGGATGGACATGTAATAAGAGTCAGGTTCATACAGACTTGAAGCCAGCCTGTTACCCCTTCTTCAAGCTATGAAGGGTTGATTTTTATTCATATCCTTTAAGTAGGCCATGCATGCAACTGACAAGCCAATGATGGAATTGGGGCATTTTTAGCAGAAGATGCTGAGAACATGTATAAAGCCCAATAACCTCAAGCATTTAGAGAGTATTTTTTCTCCAAAAAAATCTCAAACTACATTCTGTTTCTGTCTCTGTCTCTGTCTCTCAAAGGTGTTATCTATGGAATGATGTAAGGTGATATCACAAATATCCATACTCTAGTAGTTGGGCAGTAATGAGTAGGGAATAGTGCACAGTCTTTTTACTTTATCTGGCTATAAACCTTGGCTCAGCCACTTACTGGTTGTCTTAGTGAAGGCATATTAAGTTACATAACTTCCTTAAGAGTCAGATTCTTCATATGTGAAGTGGGTTAATAATGCCTATCCTGCAAAACTGTGAGGATTACAGAGAAAGTATGCAAGCACTGGGTACAGCATGCACTCAGTGCACGACAGCTACTGGTGTGACTGTTGGTATGCCTGGCAACGACACATCTATGGTGTATCTCATTCTATGTTGATTGTAGTAAGAGATACAGAATGAGAAGTCTAGGCTGTCTCCTTGTTTCTAGTATAACTAGAATGACAAGGTGTCAAATTCACGTCTTACTTTACTAGATTTGCAGTCATGTGTGTACTTGGAGTGTGCCTTGCACTGTGCTATAAGAAGCTCCAGAGGCTCCTTTGACATATTCGGTTACAAACCCAGCAGCACTGAACCTGGTTACAGAAAGAGGACAATTACTTGATAAATATCTTCTAATTTGATATAAACAGATTAAGAAATAGAAGAATTCTGTGATGTCCCAGGGCCAGGTCAAAAGAGTCAAGCTAAATGTGCCTTATACAATCAGAAAAATAAAAGGCTTTTATGGACTTGGATTGTAAGGTGGAGCATCATGGAAGAGTTTAGACCCAAAGAAAGGATAGGCTACATTACTCTGTAATAACATAAATGTTGTGCCAGGCATGGGGAACAGCACAGATAAACCATGAAGACAAATTAAATACAGCAGTCAAGAAAGCATACAAGAGTTGGCTGGAAGGCAGTAGTTTCTAAAGGGGCCATGATAAATAATGTTGACTAAGTAAAGTCAAAGTCTTCTGAGTAACACAATAGAATTTATGGCTACTGGTTTCCAAAAAGAAAAAAAAAAAGACAATGAGAAATCCAAAAATATAAGTCATGCAGGCTAGGGGACACAACAGAATTTGAAGCAGTGATAATTTGGACAAAAGAGAGGGAATTACATTTAACACTAAACAGGAGGAATCTGAGTAGGAGTGGTCCGTA